TTGAGATTCTGCAGATCCTGCTTCTCCTGCAGTCGTGAATACCGTGTCGGGCTGAGCGGGCTGCCGGGTCGCCGGCCGCCAACGATCGGCGTCGACGTCGTCGGCGGCGGTTGGATGTTGCCGGACGATGACGAGGCGGCCGCGGTGGCGGAAGAGGCGGCGGCCGTGGCCGCCGCCGCCGCCGCGGTCTTCTTGCTCGACTTGGTCGACATCACTGTTTCGCGTCCGGTATGCGACTCCTCGCGTCTGCGGTCTCACCCGAGCTTCGAACTGACTACGCCGTTCTCGGACACTCACACACGAGAGGGAGCAGGGGGAGGGAGAGGAAGAGAGAGAAAAGGGGGAACGTGCCGGTGCGTCGAACGTGTTATCGAATCATTAACTCGCTGCCGAGATCCGTCAGCGCGTCCGTGCGTCGATCGAACGAATGACCGCGCGCGATTGCGATTACTATCCGCGATCGTCGACGTTCACTATTTGCCAAATGCACACCGTCAATCAACCAGCGCAGCCAACGGTCGAACTAGTGCGCCTGCGACGACGCCACATCACAAGCCGGGTTTCGCGCCGCCATTAAGCGGGAGGAAGCGCCGCGAGCGGCCATTGGTCGCGGCGCCTCGGGGACGCCGCGCGACCGGCCAATCGCGCGCCTCGTATCGGCCGGGCGCGCGCGTCGCCGCGCGATTCGATTGGCCGCGTCTGACGCCGCCGACGATTCGAGTAGCTACCGTGCAACCAATCGCGTCACGAATAATCGAGATGATGTTTATATGAAATTCAAACAAAGATGTTGATCATAATCAACAAATTTTTCAAATAAGCTTGATCTGTTAATCTCATTCGTACTTTTACACGTATTGTTACACGTGTTTTTGATTAAATAATCGTGAAAATCAAGTTTCGAAGGAAAAAGTGAAGAAAATGAAGGTATAAATAAAACCAATTGAACTTGTTAATTTAAGAATTTTCATAAATATTAAAAAATTGATTTGACTGTGAAAATAATCGCTCTTAAAATTTAGAATCCCAAAGTGTGCTAATAGGATTTTTCTCAATAATTCAATTGGGATTTGAGTGGTGAGATGGTCTGAAAATAATAACATATTGAATTTTTATAAATAAATATTGCATTATGATATATTTTAACAACCAGTGGTAACAAAGGTAGGTGTCTCTTTTACGTATTTATAGCAACAGAACAGCACTCTCGTATGATACAAGCTTCGATATCCGTGTCTAACTATTCATATATACATATATATATTTATAT